CACCTTGGCTGTATTATAAATGTCTATACTGGAAACGCATTCAGTTATGTCTGTATTTTCCAGCATGATCAGTATTCATCGCAACAAGTTTAACCTCTGCAAGAATAATACAATACTGTATTTTGCTGCTGTAATTATATTCATTTGAATAATTATTTTACTCGTAGGTAAATAGTTGAACATTAGTAACAAAGGTAATAGATGACATAGATGGTAATGCTACAAAGTTTGTTCAAGTAGGATTTTTTAATCAGAAAGAGGCATTTAAGAGGCAAAAACGGAAGTAGATATCTCTCCAAACTGGTTTTTGTTTCAACAACTTCGATGATATGGAACAACCTCTTTGTTTAACTTGCAATAATGTTTTGGCTCTGGAGAGTATGAAACCATCAAACTTAAAATGGCATCTTGAATCCAAGCATCCTTCGTACGTCAATACACCAAAAGAATATTTCAAATGACTGTTTAAATCTTCAAATAAAGACAAACAATATTTTGAGAAATTTATTACGGTTAGAGAAAAGTATTTAGTCGCGTTATACTCGAGTTTATCCAAACTCAAATCCTTCACTGAAATTTTTCTTCTTTTTCCCGATAACTTAAAGTGAGATTTGGCATGACAACTGGCATGATTTTACATTAAAACTTTCTATTTTCTTAGGATTGTTTAAACTTATTTTCTTAGCCAAAAACGATTATGCCTATACATAACTATATATATATAGGAAGGAAGCTATTAAGATGCAGTTCAGAAAGCATTTGGAGTCGAGCCAGTGTTTCTCAATATTATTTGATAAAAAACCAAAAGTGATAACCAACAGATGATTGCAAACAACTGATTGCAGCAAAGTTAGGACTCTTATTGTTCACAAGTGTATCCATAATTAAGTTTTTTGACGCATATAGACGTACTTATTACATATTAAAATTCATTTTTTAAAGACTGAAACCTGGAAAGGAAGCTATATATATATTAGTCGATCAATTGCGTGTCATTTGAAAGTGGGCAAGTTACATCTAGATTGTGAATCATTGTTCTGAAATAGGCCGTTTTTGCTATAGGCTATAGCTATTCTGAAACTAACTTCTCCAGATTGCAACGAACTGAAAAAAGGAGAATGAGCGGCTGACTTAAGTCTTAGATTATCTCTGCGTCAGCCTTTGGGACAGTTATTCAGTTGATATGAAAGTATTCGACTGTATCATAGTAAATGGTTACAAAATCCTTTAGTTTAGAAAAATGTTCTCCTACATAGTACTTTTACAGATATCTAGAATTCAAGAAGTTATAAGGCAGTCTCGTCAGTTTAGTGTAGAAATTCATTGAATAGCAATTAAATAAAAAATGGTACTTGGAACTGTCTCAGAAATATAAAAAATAACAACCTGAAAAATAGCATTTTTTTATATATATTTCGTAGAATTCAATCAAGGGAGACACGCACCATAAATTCTCCTTTAAAGAAGGTGCAGAGACAGGGGGAGAGTCCTTCCCATCTTCTGTACGTAAGCGCATTTCGTCATAAGACAAATCACATCCTTGAAACATAAATAATTATATTCTTTGCGAAGATAGGCAGCAGAAGAACCGCGAACTAAAGGTGTTATCCTTGAACTATTTCTATTTAGTGACCGTCAAGTTACAGTTTTTGATACATTTTCTTTCATGCTTCTAGTCTATTCTTATTTTTCCCATTCTCTATCATAAAAAACATGGCAGTAGGATTTAATACACTTTAGTCACTGACCATAGCAGTCATGCTCTAGTGATTGGTAAATGTTGCGTTTAAATCGATTCACTGGACAAATTTTTTTTATTTTTGAAAGCAGTTTTTGAAAGTTCAGGCACTTTTTCAAGCTGTTACGGAATTCAGTATTATCAGGTGACAAGGAAAAAAATGGTGTTAAGGTTTTTTTTTTTTTTTTTTTTTTTTTTTTTTGTGCGAAACTATGCACTTTCTGCTTCCTAAACAGCATGCTTTGTGATGGCAATTAAGGGGGTATAAAACATGTAATATATCGACTGATCCTGATCTTAGCGATGCAATTCTCTAGCAACATATCAATGTTTTAAAATCAGAAGAAATTTATTATCTGAAAAATTGAAACAGGTAACTGATAAAACAAAAATAGGATTTGAAATTTTGACTTTCTACGAGTATATAACAAATATGAATAGCTAGATCATTGTGTTTTATATGTCAAGGTATCAGAAAAGTGTATAATTTTCAGCGGCCCATAAAATGCAATAAGATTCATTCCCAAGACAGGATAATGTTTCACTGGAGCTCAGCGTTATCTCGAATTCAAGACCGTTAAGCGTTTGCATGGCGGAGTTCGGTCATCGTCTGTTCATTTGGAGAAACATGAAAGTCAGACTGCCCTCACGGTCTAATCGCAAATTAAAGAAGTAAACTGATACTATAGCCAACTGGTGCTATTGCGAAATGATACTGCTAATAGGCCATATTAGCAATAATAGAATGACAGACTGGCCGTGCATTACAGTGACAGACTAGCCGTAAGAGATTATGTTACTAATAGATCTACAAATGAGAGCTTTTTCGGTATGATCAATTTGACATTAAATTTTCAAATTGATCATACCTAAAAAGCAGATTGGTTTACAACAGATAACTTTTTAACAAGTTTACTTTATAAAAATATCGGCCATAGAAAATGAAATTAAAATTCAACAGTAATAATCTTCGCCTATTCTATCTCGCTCTGAACTGAGTACTCATTTCGTTTTCATTTTAAAGATGAGTTAAAACTGCATTAAATTTGCAGCTATTGAACAAAATCATTTCTAGTGAACTCATACTTAGTAGAACTACTCCTCATTTTACCATACAATGTCATATACGTTTTCAAGTAAAGCTCACAAATAAATCGTAACAAAAAAGTATAAGAGTATCTTTTACATGCACATCTTTATCGAGGATTATGAGCTTTGGCGATTCATAAAATGGGCCACATTTTCAATAATGCTTTTATAAAAATAAGTCTGTGTTTGAAAGCGAAAGTCTTGCATCCTAGACTAAATGTTTTTATTGACACTTGCATTTCATTTATTAACACGTTATTATGCATAACAGCTGATGCATAAAATATTTAAATTTATTCCAAGATGTATCTTTGCTGTAAATGTATTTTAAAATGTCGAACTGCTGAAACATTTTAGATTAGAGCAAACTGTATTTTACAACACTTAGCTGTACTCTTTACTAAGAATGAAAAAAAAAAAAAAAAAAAAGCAAAAACGCCCAAAGATTATAGAAAGAAGGGATAGTCAGTACTAAATTAGTTCGTTGTATGGGAAAGGATTAAAGGATAAAGCCATTTTTTGCTGATAATCAGTGTTAACAATTAAATATATCATTAGATATCACAAGTATGTCATATTTACACTTAGAGTTTGATGCCTAGAAACTAAAATTCCCTATACGTATGCCATAAATATACAGAAATTTCGCTTGAACTTTGAGCGCCTGTTTTCATGTTCTTCCAAAATGAAATGAAAACAGGCGCTCAAAGTGAGGTCCATGAAAACAGGCGCTCAAACTTTTCATTTTGGAAGTTCATGTTCCTTTGTTGTATGAAAGGTATCGTCATATGGTGTATGTTATTTTTCAGTATGGATATTTTTATATATGCTATTATGAAATTCAGTTTTTAAGTAATACCTCATTTATGTTACTTTGTGACGAAATTTCAATACTTAGTTTATGAAAAAGTAATCTTTTATCGAAGAACATTTGCTTTGAGCTTTCCAAGATTTAATATTAAAGACCCACGTTCTATTTATTTGTAATAAGGTATACTTGTTCGAGTTATTCTGCATGCAACTAACCAACATACATCAACGTTCTAGAACTCCACCCCTTTGACCATTGCTAGAAGATCATTCCCCCTTTTCCAAACTCAAAAAATAAGTATACACATTTATCTAGATAAGTTTTCAACGCGTTTTGTAAATTAAACAACAAAAAGCATAGAAAATGTTTATAAATACCAGAACTTGAATAAAGTAGTTTTTTATAGTCATAAACTAAAACCAAATATTTAACAGATAAATAAAAGGCTGACCACATTCCGTCCTGAAACTGTAAAATTCCCCCCTCTGGTTCAAAACCCCTGTTGTAGAAGTTACAATATTGATTAATTTGCAGAAAAATGCAAAAGTTTTTCAAATCTGTTATGCGTTTGTACCATCAATTTGCTAGGCGTAAAAAATATTGAGTAATGTTATATGAATGCATAGATCATAAAGACATCAATCAACATGAATGTGGTCGTAATCACACAACAAACACCGAACTGCTACTTAAATGCTTCCCTTTCATTTCTTTCATTTTTTAAAAATCTTATTAAAAATTAAAATACGGTGATTATATGATGCTTATGAGATGTTAAGAAACTAAACTCTTACCTGTGGAACAAATATTTAATTTGAGCTTTCGTAACAATACTCTATATTTTTTCTTTTCATAATTTAACTTTTCAGTATTTAAATTTAATTTTCAGAATATTCATAAAATTTTAAAAATTTTAAATTTAATTATTACTCTTATCTAGGACAGCCATAGTCAGGAATATATTTAAACCAAAATAATCTCAAATAAGTTAAATGATTATGTCAGTTCATTAGTGAAAAATGCTTTAACAATCTGTAAAAATCACAGAAAGATAAAATTAGTAATGCTAAAACAATGTTCAATTTAACCTTTAAAGAGAGAACACTGAATGGGGATATCTTTGTTTTCAAATTATTTCAGAAGAATATTACACAGCCAAGAAAGCACACAATTTGCAGTTATTGTAAATTTAAGAATGCTAAATTAAAAACTTCTTTCATGAAGATAACCAAAATAAACGTACTCGATATTCATTAATGCATACTGGATAAATACTCGATGTTTATTAACGCAATTCATTAATGCAATCTATTAAGCAATTAATTAATCCATCTAATTTCTCTGCTTTTTTATCTCTAACAGGTGCAGTGGTGTTTACTGTGGCAGTTTTGGGCGATGACAACTTACCAGTAAGTACTTTACGAAAACCTATGTGCATTAACTTTTTATTTATAGATGGATAAAAAACAAAAGCAAATACTTTTTTATGATTGCATTACCATGACTGTAGTAAGCAGTACAGTTGCTACTGGCTACAGATCTCATTCGCATGAAATTTATATCAGTAGTCTCCCAGATTCCATAAAAATGAGAGATATGACCTAAAGCAACAACCACATCTTTTTATGCTTAGTATTGGTTGTTTTTATTTTTATACTTAAAAGGCCCACCCCTTAAGTTTGAATTTCGATTTATGTTGATTCAAATTAGGTCCAATCGCATTTATATCGTGGAGTTCAGCTTATAGGAAAAGAGGGTTTGGGGCGCGTTAGGCGCACTCTGAGAGAAAGAACGTTTTGCCCTCACTTTTATAATTCTTTATGTGTCAGAAGACTGGCCTAATCATCACTTTATTGTGCAAGGTAAGTGTTGCAGTTGATTTCGGAAACTTGCTTCTGCATATTAATCATTGATAAAGCTTCTGACCACACACTTAGAATTTATTATTTTGACCTTATCAGGTTCAATGTTTCTTCTAACCTTCTTCGGAAACATACAATGACCTGACTAGGAACAGAGAGCTTACTAAAGCTAAGTTCACTAATTGTAGTAAGTAGACAGGATACAGACGAAGGGTATACAAAACCCTTTATTTTTTTCTTTATATACAATGACTTCCGTACTTCGGAATACAATGACCCCTCCACTCGGGGTCTAACGTAAAAGATATCAAAAATAAAACTAAACTCTAATTTAACTTTAGAATAAGATTGGCCTTATAATAACAGGAAGCGTATGTAGCACAGAGACTGTGAACACTACAATACGTTTAATTTATCAAGAGGATTAAAACCTCTGGCCTGGAAGGCAAATAGCAACTGCGTAACTTCTAAGGTAAGCGGCCTGCTTCGAACTCACTGCTTCCTCTCTCCTCGCTTGGCAAAAAGGCCACACTTAAATACTTGGCGTTCGCCAGACACAACTTTGCATAAAATCCTTCACGCTTATAATTCTGGCCGGAAGTAGAAAATAAGAAGTGATAGTAAAGATTTAAAATAAAATAAACGTTAGTAAAACTTAAGATCCTTACATACTTCCCGCCAGAGTTAATTAGTTTGAAACTGAGGTCTAAAACGACCTTGTTGAAAACTTTTAGCTCTAGAATCTAACGCGAGGCCAACCTTTTACAAATCATAACTTCGCTAGAAACTAGAAAATTTAAAAGAAAGAAATTTGTTACAATAGCAGCTCCCAGGATATACAACAATCTTTTTTTTTTTTTTTTTTTTCATCTGTACTGCATCTAAACAGGAGCTTTATTCAATTCTGGTTCCTTCCAGAGATCTGGAAGGAAAACTAGTTTAATGAAATGTTACACAATGACATTGCAAATAACATATAGAATATACTTCTCTTAACATTCTTATTTCATTCATGACTATTTTAATTATCTCTCCCCGTGCTCTCTGACATGTGTTGTAAAAAGAACACCAAACACGAATGTGTTTCTGTCTATGTGTTCAACACTTCCTCCTACAATCAAAACACTAACGTGTTAAAATTCAACATAACGAGACCTCTTAACACACCCTAATTTCAACTCTAAACCCTGAGGTACTATTCTGAAAGTGGCTAACTCTAAAGTGTAGCGTCAGAGAGCCTAACTACATCATTCAACCTTTAACACATATTCACCATGATTTAATCTTTACAGTCACACGAATAACAAATTTTTTTAACATTACTTTCACTTTTACCATATCACGGTATTTCTTAACATTTAAAATAACAGTTCACATGTATACAAGAACATATCAACATGCCGTTAATTTTACACATTTGAAAACATACATTAGTAGTACATTGTTAACTTCTATTCTTTTCAAAGCAAGTGCCAATTCTTTCTACATTGAAATAATACTACATTTCAAAAAGTCTTTCAGACTAAAACTTCTTTCTTGTTAGAATGTTTTAAATAAAATTTATACAATAACTTTTTACAATATTTAAGTCTTTACACAACGCTATTATACATCAACTTTAGTTTTACGCGCGCGAGTAATTGAAAAACATAATAAGAAAATCGGTCACAACTCATTTCTCGCCCTTTTGGCGATAAAGGTAGACCTCGCATGAGGTAAAACTTCTTGAAATCTGCCACTTGCAGTAAGAATGAAAGATTAACTTAAGTTTGCAAAGTAACATAAAATTTTACTTATCTTTGTAATATTCGGACATCCTTTTCTGGGCCCAGTCTTTAAAGGTATGCAGATAGTAGCTTGGTTTGATCCTCCTTCTTGTACGGGCTCGCCCTTCAGTGCTTTCCTCTGGAAGCTTCCGTTTTTCACCAGTTACGGCCACCCTTGAACACCTTCCTTTTGTCCTCTGCTTGTGGTCTTGGCCGTTTGAAGGCAGCTGGTCTTGGTGGAACCGGGAAACTTCTGTCGTGATCCTGCTTGGACCTCGTTGTTGGCCGTTCAAATTTTTCTTGTACTTTTTCCTCCGCCGCTGATGGCCCTTCCGCAGTTCGGCGACTTTTGCTGCGGAGAGTTCTGTCGGATGAGTCAATCTTCCGTTTTCACAGCCGGGTTATAGTTGCCGTCCTTTCTCCCTGGTCTCTTTCCACATACGTCGTCCTTCTCCCTTCTTCATTCTGGGGGTGTTCGTGAACTCTGTTTTCTGGACGGTGGAACGGCTTCTTTTTCTTTTACCTTCAATTTTTCCGCGGGGCAATTTTCTTTTCACTTGCTTCTGTCTCTCATTGGCTTGCTTGCCCTTGTACTTGTCGTTTTCCCACCTCTGGAACTTGTACCTGCGGTGTCTGCCGTGCCGGATCCTGCAAAAGATCTGAAAAGATTTGCATTTTATTACGATCGAAGTAGGGCTTGATTTGATCAATATTTGCGGAACAGGTTTCACCATTTCTGGCCTTTAACACTACAACAGCGTGAGTTATTTTTTCTATAACATATGGTCCTTCAAATCGTGGAAAAAATTTGGCAGTTTTATCTTCTGGTGCTGAAGAAAGTGAATGCTTAATTTTTAAAACTTCATCCCCTACTTTATAAGTTACTCCCCGTCGTTTCAATCATATATAAGCTTCTGTTTTCTTTGTGCTACTTCCGTATTCTTTTTTGCTTCTTTTATTAGTTTTTCTATATCACCCATTTTAAATTCTGGGGCTCTTTTGTTGCACATAAAATAAGTTTATCTAACGGTGTTATAATCTTTCTGCCTAGAAATAACTCAGCAGGAGTTTTGCCCGTTGTATCATGTTTTGCGGTCCTAAGGGCGAAAGCAAATTCATTGACATAGTTATCCCAGCTTTTATGAAAATTTTTAACATAACTACGGATAATTTTCACTATATTTCTGTTGACCCGTTCCGCTATATTTGATTGCGGCCGATACGGGACCATTTTTAAATGACGTATGCCCAGTTTTTGGCACATGTCTTCAAATATATTACTTACAAATTGAGGACCATTATCCGATATAACTTTTAGGGGCGCCCCGTATTTTAAAATATATTTATTTAAAATAGAATCAGTAACTAATTTCGCGGAGGCTCGTTTTAAGGGAACAATTTCGGTCCATTTACTAAAATGATCAACCATAACAAGGAGATAGCGACTTTTATTTAACTGACTTTTTGGGAAAGGGCCCAATAAATCGATGCCGATTATTTCATTTGGAAATTCGGATTTAATACTATTTAGAAACCCGGCCGGGCGGAAATTAATATAATTAACGGCTTGACATGTTGGGCAGGACTGGACATACGCCCTTGTTAACTTTTGCAGTTCAGGAAAGTAGACTGCCTCGCGTACGCGTTGGATAGTTTTTCGAATACCAGCATGAGAAGCTAAAGGGCTGTCATGGAGCTCTTGCAGGATATTTAATCTAAGACTAGCTGGGATAACAGGTCGAAATTCGTTGTTGGAATTCGTAGTTTTTGTATAAAATAATAGACCATCTATTAGTTCGTAATGGGCCGCCCTATTTCTTATCGCCACAATATCTTGGTGGCTAAAATTTTCAGGATCCTTCAAATACTCATAAATACTTCCAAACTCAGGATCCTTACCCAGTTCGGTTATTACAGTTTCTCGGGAATTTATTGTACACGCTGTCAGCATTGCCAACTTTTACGGTATTACCCTGTTCGTCTAATTTAATTCGTGATAGGGCATCTGCTACGATATTTTCCTTTCCGGGGGTATGCTTGATTACCAGATTATATTTCTTGCAGCTTGAGTGCCCATCTTATTAACCTTGGGGATAAATTTTTTTTTTCCTGAGTACAATCTAGTTACCGCCGCATGATCAGAATATACTGTTATCGGCGCCTTTCCAAAATAGACTCGGAACTTTTGCACTGCTAACAGAACTGCAAGTGCCTCTCTCTCGGTCGCGGAATAGTTTCTTTGTGTTTGATTTAAAGTTCGGCTAAAAAATGCCACGGGCTGCTGATTTTGCGAAAGTACCGCTCCTACCGCATAATCCGAAGCATCCGCTGAAATTTCTAAATTTTCATCCTTTTCAGGAAATTTCAACACAGGGGCTTGCGTTAATGCTTGTTTTAATTTTTCGAAAGCACTATTGGCTTCGGCCGTCCACGAGAATCTTGCCTTTTTCCTTTTTAATTTTAACAATGGCTCAGCGATAGCCGCAAAATCTTTTATAAAGGACCTATAATATGAACAAAGTCCTAGAAAAGAAGAGAGCTTCTTTGCCGTGTTTGGAGTCGGATACTTTTGTACAGCGATTATTTTTGATTCATCTGTCTCGATCCCTTTTTGCGATATTTTGTAACCTAAATATTTTAATTCAGGGGCTGCAAATTTGCACTTTTCGACATTAACTTTTAGACCGGCCTCATTTAATAAAGAAAACACCTGTCTTAAATCCTGTACATGTTGGTCGAGATTATCACTAGTAATAATGATATCGTCTAAATAGATAAATG